TGTTTTTATATTATAAATGCAGCTTTTTGTAAATATCCGAAATAAATAATTTTTCTACAAATATTTTAAATTTATCAAAATATTTTTACTGCACAATTAGACTAATATATTTTGCATTATTCTATCTTTATTAATTTTTTCATAATAAAATGGATTTTATTGAACAAATAATAAATAGTAAATAGAGAAAATATAAAATATCGAAAAGAATATATTCATATAAACATATATTTGTGAAATCGAAATTTTGTTAAAATTGACTTTCATAGAAATTGTATTTTATAAATTTAATTAAAAAAAGCTGCATTTATCAGATAGAAACATAAAGTAATAAAATAATATATTCCAATCTTCTCACACACACACACACACACACACACACACACACACACACGCACAACTTCTTATAACAAATGTTATATAAATTATACATATACAGGATGTAACAACGATCATATATCAGGAGTTTTTAGAAGAAAATACGTATTTTATTGAAAAATGTTTTATTACCAAAGTTATAAGGGTTACTTATCATTACATAGTAGTATTAGTATTATGTTGAATAGCATTATCAAAGTCACATAAAGATTATTTGGAAATAATGGAAACCCTCATTTTTTATTGCATGCACAGAATGAAAAATTTATTTAGAAAGCTCTCAAAGTAAGCTACATGTATGTACATGCAATAAAAAATGAGGGTTTCCATTATTCCAAATAATCTTTATGTGACTTTGATAATGCTATTCAACATAATACTAATACTACTATGTAATGATAAGTAACCCTTATAACTTTGGTAATAAAACATTTTTCAATAAAATACGTATTTTCTTCTAAAAACTCCTGATATATGATCGTTGTTACATCCTGTATATGTATAATTTATATAACATTTGTTATAAGAAGTTGTGTGCGTGTGTGTGTGTGTGTGTGTGTGTGTGTGTGTTGAGAAGATTGGAATATATTATTTTATTACTTTATGTTTCTATCTGATAAATGCAGCTTTTTTAATTAAATTTAAATAAAATACAATTTCTATGAAAGTCAATTTTAACAAAATTTCGATTTCACAAATATATGTTTATATGAATATATCTTTTCGATATTTTATATTTTCTCTATTTACTATTTATTATTTGTTCAATAAAATCCATTTTATTATGAAATAAATTAATAAAGATAGAATAATGCAAAATATATTAGTCTAATTGTGCAGTAAAAAATATTTTGATAAATTTAAAATATTTGTAGAAAAATTATTTATTTCGGATATTTACAAAAAGCTGCATTTATAATATAAAAACATGAAAGTAATAATAAATTTTATCTATTCCAATCTTCTCAACATACATACAAATCCAAATTATACATGATACACATACAACATAATAACATGCATGTAAAGACAGACAAGAATGGGGAAAGAAAAAGAAAATAAAAGTTTAAAATACCCCGGGACAAAAATTTGTGTATATAATAATATAACATTATATAAATATATAAAAGTATACGTATAATCGCAGAATTATATTATGAAATATGTCTATACATAATTAAGTAAAAGTGCTTGTTATATATAATTATATAAATTTATATATATATATATATATATATATATATATATACAAGTGTAATAAATAAGTATTTCTTTATATATATAAATATATATGTTTTATATACAAATTGACATGATTATATATGCACCCTTATTTTTATATATAAATTTACATAATTATGTATAAAAATGGACATATTTTAAAGAATGAATGAGTGAGTGAACGAGTAACTGGCTGTTGCCGTAAAACGATATGATTGATTGCATTGATTACTAATTGATAGAATACTAACAATAAGCATAAAGGATCAAGAAAGAGAGAGAGAGAGAGAGAGAGAGAGAGCTCTCTTTTTTTACTTTTCAGAAAATAGTGACATTCAATGCAAACGATCAATTATACATATATCTCCTTACGACACATACAACGCGGGAAAATTTTTTATATATAATTATATTAAATAATTGTGTAATTATAATTTTGCGAAAAATAACAAAATTGGGTACATGCTAAAAATGTAGCATGTAGACACCCTATATATACATATTTGTAAACAAAATCGTGTGCGCGCAATGACATATATTTGCGCGGGATGGTTCACTTGTCACGCGGTACGTACTATACGTGCTTACACGCAGTGCGCGACTCGACCGTTATAACGTGTGATAACGTGTCGAATATTGTGATAGATAGACATACTGTGATATTTTAAAAGTGATTTTTATATTTATTAAATATATAGTGTATAATGGGTGCAAACAAAAAAAACGTTTGCCCCTATCTGGTCGCAGATTGAGTAGAAAGGGAGCATGTTTTAAAAGGTTAGTATTATGTCATATCATAAAATTGATTCAATATCAGAATTACTGTTACATACAGCACAAATACACAAAATATTACATACCTATTTATTATGCACATAAATGGATATAACGATTAGATAGACAAAAGAAAAAGAAATATATATATATATATATATATATATAACATTATAAACAGTACAAATAAACATTAATTATATACATCTATTTGTTATACACATACATGGATATAATGAATAAATTAACAGATACAGAAAGCTGAAGAAAAAAAAAGAGAAAGATAGTGAGTATGAGTTCTCTAGCCTCTTTACATTATAAATATATATCATAAAGCAATATATATATGTATATATACATACACACATACATGTATACATACATAATAATATATTGCTTGTCGACGTTTATAAAAAGGCTCACTCGTTCGCTCTCTTTCTATTTATTTCTTTTTCTTCTATTTCTTTTTTTTTGTCTATCTAATCGTTATATACATTTATGTGCATAATAAATAGGTATGTAATATTTTGTGTATTTGTGCTGTATGTAACAGTATTATGTATGCTGTATGTATTATATATATATATATATATATATATATATATATTATAATAGTGCGCATGATATGAATTGAGACGTTTCTGATAATTAAAAAATTTATATTGTACAAATGAATTTGTTTCAAAGCTATTACGTAACAGAAAAATTAAAAAAAAAATGTTTTCATGAAAAAATGAATGTCATAATTTTTTTAAAAATAAAAGCATCATATTTAATCTAAATCAATTTGTTACAATATTCTGCATCAAAAATTATAAAGATAAATTGTGAAAAAGTGAAAAGTTTACGAGATATTTGAGTTTTAGAGAAAATATGTAGCTGCTGGTTTACAATTTATATCTTTATTTATATCTGTGTTTTCTTTACACCAATTGATTTAAATTGGAATAAAATAATCAGAAAATGATTTCATGAGATATTTCATAGTTTATGTACATTATGAAAGTATAATATATCTCATAAGCTATTCGCTTTTTTTGGCCATCTTACATTACAACTTATGCAGAATATTGAGAATCGATTTATATAAAAAAATATGATTTTATTAAAAAAATTCAAGGTAACACTAATTTTTTTTATAAAAAATTTTTTTCCTCATTTTTTATTGCTTGTAATAGATTGCACAAAACAGATCAATTTTTACAATATATATTTTTTTCTAAACTGTTGCAAACATTTCAAAAATCGTACGTATTGTTATGCTGAACATCGTATTAATATATATATATATATTTGATACATATATATTGATATATATAGTTGGTGTAAAGAAAACACATATTTACCTTTAAAAAAAATATGAAAATTGCAATAAGCAGTTAGATAATTTTTCTTTAAGACAACTATGTGTTTTCTTTACACCATTGATTCGTCTCATTATTCTGTGCATAAAAGTATTAAGGTATGATAATCGAAAAATGAATATTTCCCAAGATATTTTGTATTTTATGTCAAAATACTGCAAATTTGCAGCCTTATAACTCGAAAAATACTTAATGAAAAAATATTTTATTGTAGTGTTTTGGAAAGATCTTAAAGTCAGCTATAAAAGTATGCAAGAAAAAATAGATAGATAGATATATTTATTGCCGCCCCCAATGGGGATTACAAGGCGCTTTTTTTTTAAAGGAGCGTTCCCAACCTTTATTCCTTCCTTCCTTTTTCCTTAGACTAAACTTATACCTAAAACTTAATCTAATTACATTTTCGCACGCCTCTCCTTTTCGCCGCTTTCTCATCTTTTATCGCATTCTGCCCTACCTACACACACACACACGTCCGCCTTTCCCTAACCTTTCTTATTCTAAATTATCTTAACCTACGCAATCTTACATTCTACTTATCCTATGTTGGACCTCCGCTTCCGGTTACCGTTATTCTTCCACTCCTGTCCTCTCCCTCCCCTCTCTCTCTCTCACACACTCACTCACACACTCTCCCCCTCTCTCTCTCCCTTATCTCCTACCCTCTCTCATCCCCCTGTCCTCCTTTTTCCTCCTTCTCCTTCTCCCCCCCCTTTCCCTCTTGCTTCCTCTAACCTTTTTAACCATATTTCCCCTTCCCCCTCCTCTCCTAATATCTCCTTTACCATTTCCTGCCAGCTTTCTTCCTTCCCCAATCCATACATTCCTCCCACACATGCTCCCACGTCTCTAACCCTCTCCCACATATCCTGCACTTCCTATCCTCCTCCTTTTCCCAATACCTATTTCCCTTCATTTCATTTCCCAGTCTGTACCTTGCCATCCTCCTCCATCTACCTTCCGCCCACCCTTTCTTCAAATAGCCCGGAATCCCCTCCCCTTTAATCTGTTTGTACCACTTATTATATTCCGATTTTATCATTTTTCCTACCCTCTCCTCCCTCTGTTCCTTTCCTTCCCATTCCTCAACTTCTTCCCATCTGAACTCCCCCCTTTCCCTTCTTTCCTCTATCTCCCTTAATCCCATCCCCTTACCCTCAAAAAATTCCCTTCTTTCTCTCTCCCACCCTGACAATTCCCCTCCTTTTTTTGCCCTTTCTTTAATCTCCCCCAAACATATTCTCGCCAACCATCCTCCCTTACCCTCCTCTAACCTTCTCTCATATCCCCATGCTCTTCTACCCATCCTTGTCCTTATCTTTTCCCTTTGCAATTCCTCCCTTACCATATATCCAGGCGTTCCCCAGTCCACTCCTAACATCCATCTCAGATACCTTTCTTGTATCCTTTCCAATCCCTCTCTCTCTTCCCATCCCCATATCTCCACCCCGTATCCTAAAACCGTCCATATTAACGCATCGAAGAGCCACAACCTCCTCCCCCAGTTATTCCCAATCTCCTCTTACCTATTCCCCATACCTGTCCCATAATTGCTGCCCCTCTCTTTATTCTGTCCCTTACCTGTCCCTCTTGCCCCCCATTCCTTTGAATCACATATCCTAAATATTTGTACTCCTTTACCTCCTCTAATTTTTTTCCCTTCCAAAACCAACTAGCCTTTTTTAACCTCCCTCCCCCCCTTCTGCATCTCATCACCTTCGACTTCTTCTCATTCAGTTCCAGTCCCTTCCCCTCCAGATATCTCCCTAACCTCTCCATCATACACCTCATCCCCCCCTCATCTTCTGCCAACAGCACCACGTCATCCGCGTACGCTAATGTATAGACCTTGCCCTCTCCTAATCTCACACCCCCCATCTCCCTTTCTCCATTTCCTCCTCCAAGTCCGCCATCAACATGTTAAACAGAAGCGGGCTCAGTGGGCATCCCTGTCTCACCCCCCTCCCCGTCCAAAACTTCTCCCCCCACCTCCTCCCCTATTCTAACCCTGAACCCTATCTCTCCTAGCACTTCCTCGCACCTCCTCACCGTCTCTTCCTTCACCCCCCTCCCTCTTAACGCCGCCATCAACTTCACTCTGTCCACCGAATCAAACGCTGCTCTCAGGTCCACAAACAGTAGGACCATTTGCTTTCCTTTCCTACTTATTTGTCTGTTTATTAAATAATTTAATACATAAATATTGTCCACTGTTCCCATCCCTTTCCTGAACCCCGTTTGATTCGGTGGCAACATCCCTTTTTCCTCTATCTCTCCCCTCAATCTCTCTGCCAACACCGTCGCATATACTTTGTATAAAGACGGTGTCAGAGTTACCCCCCTGTACTCCGAAACCTCCTTTCCCTCACCCCTCTTCAAGATTGGCACCACCAGCCCCTCACTCCACTCCCTTATCCACCCCTCCCCCTTCCATATCTTATTGCACAACTCCCATACCCACTTCTCTATTCCCTCTCCTCCAAATTTCCACACTTCTCCCGGAATCCCGTCCACCCCCACCGCCTTTCTTTCCTTTATCCTACCTATCGCCCTCCTAATTTCTCCCTTTTCTATCTGATCTTCCCCTCTCTCCTTCTCCGTCCTTCTTCCTCCCATTATCACTCTCGATTCTACCCCTCCTAATAGATCTCTAAAATATCTGTTCCATTCCTCCATCTCAATCCCCTCTCCCATTCCTCCTTTTCCTTTTCCCCTTTCCCTCCTAACCACCTCCCAAACCTGCCCTTCCGTCCTCGCTTCCATTGCTTTCTTCGTCCACTCCTCATTCTCCTCCTCCTTCTTCTTTCTACATAATCTCTCATACTTTTTTTTTCTTTTCCTGTATTCTTCTCCTTTCCCCCCTATCCTCCTCCACCTTTTTAACTCCTTTACCACCTCCCCCTTCTCTCTTCTACACTCCCTATCAAACCACCCTCTCTTTTTTTCTTTCTTCTCCTTTCCTTCTCTCTCATTCCCCTTATCTAACACTTCCTGTATCTTCTTTTTCTTCTCCTCCCACTCTCCCTCTACACCCTCCTCTTCTTGTTCATCCCTCTGCTTCCCCCAAATTTCCCCTATCTTCTCCCTAAATTCCTCCTTCCCCTCCTCCGTCCAGTTCCATCTCCTCCTCTTTTTTCCTTTTCTTTCTCCTCCTCCTCCTTTCCCTTCTAACCACACTATTAACGGCATGTGATCCGAGTCCATCCTTTCACCTATCTCTAACTTCCTGATTTCCTCTCTTACCTCCTCATTACCTATTATGTAATCTATTACCGATTTCCCATTCGGCCCCATATATGTCCACCCCCCTTCCTCATCCCCTGCTATTCCTCCATTCATTATCGCCCACCCCTTTTCCTCCAGCTTCTTCACCAACCTTCTCCCTTCCCCATTTACTTTTGTATCTCTTGATTTTCTCCCCTTCCCTTCCTCTCCCTCCTCCTCTCCTATCTCCACTCTTCCTCCTAAATTTCCCGTTCTTGCATTAAAGTCCCCCCCTATTATCGTTCTTACTCTGTCTCCCTCCTCCTCCATCCATTCATTCATCTCCCCTAGCTTCTTCTCCATCTCCCCATTTATGTACACTCCCACCAACCTCCATCTCTCCCCTCCTTTTCCTATCCCCACCTCCACCATTCCCTCTTTATCCGCCTTACACTTTCCTTCTATTCCTACCCCTTTTCTCACCCCCACTATAATTCCCCCCATAGCCCTTCCTTTTTTACTCTTCCTCCTCGCATATTGCACCTCCCATTTATATCCTCCCGGCATCCTCCCTTTTATCCTTTCCCACCCTTTTTCATCTACCCATGTTTCCAGAAAAAACATTACGTCCCATTCTCCCACCGCTTCCCAGAAGTCCGCGTCCTTATTTCTTAATCCCGCCACATTCCAGAATGCCACCTTCCATCCTTCCTCCCCTTCTCCTTCCTCCTTTCCTTCTTCCCCTCCTCTCCCTTGCCCTTTACCTCCCACTTTCCCTCCTCTCTCTCTTTCTCTTTTTCACCCTTCCTTCCCCACTCTTTCCCTCCCCTCCTTTCCCGTCCCCTGTATTGCTTCCATCCCCTTTCCTTCTATTCCCTCCTCTCTCCTCTCTTCCCTCCTCTCATCCCCTGCTCCTTCCTCCTTTAGTTCCTCTTTCACCTCGTCCCATCTCCACCATTTACCTCTCATCCAAATTCTCCCATACCTTACCCATGCCCTCCTTCCCTCTCTTTCTTCCCCTCTCGCCAACTCTCCTAATCTCCACATCATCCTTCTTTCTTTCCACGTTAGATCCTCTTCAATCCTCTCCTCCCTTCCTCTCAACCTCCTTTTCTTTTCCATTATCTCCCTTTTAACCTCCATCTCTCCCACCCTTACTAAAGCTATACTTGTCCCGTCCCTTCTCCCCTCCCCTATTCTCCTCACTTCCTCTACCTGCCCCCCTACCCCTATCTCTTTCAATAATTTCTCCACCTCCCCTTTCACCCCCCCTTCTCCTCCCTTAATTCCTTTTATTATCACATTCTTTCTCTTTTCTTCTCTTTCCTTTCTCTCCCATTTCCATTCCATCCTCTTAATCCTATCTTCCATCTCCTCACTCTCCTTTCCCCTTTCCCCTTTCTCCCTCTCCCCCTTTTTTCCTATCTCTAATTCTTCCATTTTCTTCCCCATCTCCTTAATCCTTTCCATAAATTCCTCCCTTTCTCTCTCCCACTTTTTCTCCCTCTCCTCCATTTCCTTTTTCAGCCCCCTTACCTCCTCCCTTAACTCCTCCTGCCCTCTTACTCCCTCCTTGATCTCTTCTCTAATTTCTCTTCTTATCTCTCTCATCTCCTGAATTATCTCCTCCTTCCACTCCCTCCCCATCTCTTTCAATATCTCCCCTATCCCTCCTGCCTCCTCCCTCCTTTCAACCTCCGGCGACCTTATTACCTTTTTACTTCTCCTGAACGCCCACTCCAAATCCCCTTTTTCTTCTCTCTCCTTTCTCAACCCTACTTCCTCTAATTCCTCCCTTTTCCTTTTCAAAACCTCCTCTGCCGTCCCTGTGCTCCCTCTTCTCTCCCATTTCTCCGTCTTCTTTAATCTTTCTATCTCCTCTATTTCTTTTCTTTCCATCTATATCTCCTTTACTTATGCCTAGTGACTTTCCCTATACCCTATCTCAGTTACTTTCTCCTCTGCTAGTGACTTTCCCTATATCCTCGACTGGCTCCTCTGTCACTAGAGACTTTCCCCGCACCTACACCTATCCCCTATCTCTCTTCTCCTTTTACACCTGCACTCCTCTTTCCTAGTACCTTCCTCTCCCCTCGTGCCCCTGATCTATCTTCCAAACTGCCAACTCACTCTACCTGCATCACTTCTCTTCCTTCTCACCGCTCTATTCCCTTCTCACCCCACTTGCCTGCACTCCCCTTGCATTCGCCACCTTCAGCTTCTCACTCTCTCACTCTCTCTCCCCCTTTCTCTTCCACACACCTCTAATATTCCACTCAAATACACACACTGACAGCACCTCAACCTTCTCACACGCAACCGGAAACGGAAGTCCCGCAAGAAAAAAAAAAAAAAAAAAAAAAAAAAAAAAAAAAAAAAAAAAAAAAAGTCCGTAAGCTTTATGTAGCTTCTCTGTGCAGAAATTCCCGATTGCGCATGCATCTTCGTGGCTCGTTACGACCTCGGATTTGCACGCCTGCACGGTCGAGTTTCCTGTCGCTCCTCGGTACCCGCAAGAAAAAATATAATGTTCCATTTAAGAAATTGAAGTTGACCGTCACGTAACCTTCAAATGGCTATTCAAGGTCAAATCAATGACACCATCTTATGTCCCCCTTGAAACCATACAACTTTTATCTGAAACATTTTTGTCTTAAACTTTTGAATTTTGAGAAATTTTAGTGCAAAGATTAAAATGGCTTACCCTGTATATAAATATATATATATACATATATATATATATATATTTGTATGTATGTATGTATGTAGGTGTAATTTTATAAGAACATTCAAATAGACGTTTAAAATGCAATTTTTATTTTTATTTTTAATTTTTATTTTAATTTTTTTTTATTAAAATGCAATTCTTATTTTTTTTATCTGAAAGATAATGCAATCCTTTGTTTATTTTTTCATGTGATAATGCAATCCTTTGTTTATTTTTTCATTAATTGATAATTATTATTATAGTTTTTATAGTAGTTAGTGCCAGAGGCGGTCTATTCGTGTGCTGGTTTAAAAAATAATTCCAGAGGCGATCTATTCGTGTGCTGGTTGTTTTAAAACTGTAATTCCAGAGGCGATCGATTCGTGTGCTGGTTGTTTTAAAACTGTAATTCCAGAGGCGATCTATTCGTGTGCTGGTTGTTTTAAAACTGTAATTCCAGAGGCGATCTATTCGTGTGCTGGTTTGTTTTAAAAAATAATTCCAGAGGCGATCTATTCGTGTGCTGGTTATTTTAAAAAATAATTCCAGAGGCGATCTATTCGTGTGCTGGTTGTTTTAAAAAATAATTCCAGAGGCGATCTATTCGTGTGCTGGTTGTTTTTAAAAAATAATTCCAGAGGCGATCTATTCGTGTGCTGGTTATTTTAAAAAATAATTCCAGAGGCGATCTATTCGTGTGCTGGTTGTTTTAAAAAATAATTCCAGAGGCGATCTATTCGTGTGCTGGTTGTTTTAAAAAATAATTCCAGAGGCGATCTATTCGTGTGCTGGTTGTTTTAAAAAATAATTCCACAGGCGATCTATTCGTTTGCTGATAACTGTACAAAATATTTTACCCCAGATGCAGTTTGCATGTGCGCAAAATTCTCAGAAGCGATATTGCAATGTTGAAACTTTATAACTTATCATGTGATAGTGACTTTCACGTAATCTTTATGACTGTGCAAGGTCAACACTAATGGTACTATTTTATAGTTCCTTTGAAACCGTACAACTTTTGTTGTTTTATTATAAAATGCATTGAAACAAAGAGATATTAGGGGTAGTAAAAATGGGACACCTTGTATAACTACACACACGCATACATATGTGTATATGTATGTGTAACAACCTGTGTATATATAATTTTTATATAATTATAATTATATAAAATGGGACACCCTGTATATGTATGTGTGTGTCGATTGACAACTTTTTTATTGCGACATCTGTCGAGTTTTGTCGATAATTATATTTAAAAAATCTTTATTATCGACCCTATCGGAGTTCGCCCGTGCATTTAGGATCCCCTTAATACTATCAATTAATAAATCATATAATAAAAAATTATTTAATTGAAGTAGAAATTCTAAAATTATATTGCAATTACAACCATTAATATCCGTGACGATTAAATATTTATTGTTTATTATCCAATATATTAGCGGCTCGTCAATATTCGTTGTATCAATCGTCATAAAAGTGTAATCAATTTGTCCTCGAAATGTCTTGAGGCAGAAGCATTTATTGTCTGCCATATATGATTTGTTTCTACCATTGAAATCCGTTTGCACTATTGAAGAATCTACTGTCCAATATAAATGTCTGAAAAATATTTATATTGCTCACTTTTATTAAAACATTTTATAATTACATATCTATCACAAACGAATATATGTTTATTTATATCTTATACGTTTCTATGTAAATTTATGATTGCATTACTTATGGATCTTTAATACAAAATTTGCATATTAAATTAACAAGTTATAGAACAACACAAATCTTTAATTAAAAAAACACAATATATTGTTCAATTTGTGAAATTATTAAATTTAATGTACCTCTTATATGGTAATACTGTTAAAAATGAAGCATTCTCTTCAGCCAGTGCGATTTTTTCGTATGTTTTGATGCCTTTTTGTTGTACTAATATTAAGTCCAGTTTTATAATGTAAGTACCGTCAATAGTATCTTCTAACCAATAAAGATTTTCACGAATCCAATCGATGCACAGAGAATATGCATTTTCCTCGATTTCTGCTATTATTGTATAATTTTGATTTGTTTCAATTGCATTTGGATTAAATTCCAATGTTATTAACTCTGATTTGTAAGTAATCCCATAAATCTTATGTTCCAATGCTGAGTAAACGATGTCAGTACAGTATTTATATATATCACGTTCAAAGCCGATCTGTAAATCTATATCCAATACATAAAATCTACCATTCTTTTGACGAGTAATAAAGGTACTGGATTCTCATGTGTGGTCGACACGTTGATGAACTTAGTATAAGAGCCAGCACCAAATTTGTTATGCGCTTGTACTTCGAAATAATACACTCTATCAGGTTTTAAATTGTACACTTTAAGTTGCAATATCGTGAAATTTGAGATTATAACAACTATTCTATGAATTATTTGATTCTCAAAAAACCAATATTGAACTGTATATTTTTGTATCACTCCAATTGTAAATTTAGGTTCGTTCCATCTATAAAGAATATAAAAATATTTTATCTTTTTATTTTTAACAACTTCTGAAATCTATTTACATATAATTATCTATTACACGTGACATATAGATAAGTTTCATTTTAAAAAATCGGGTTGACCTTAAAATGATCTTAAAAACGCTATCTAAAATCAAACTGATAATATATATTTTCGAGATAATTCGCTTTTCAGGAATGGATTTCTCATGCTTATAGAGAAGAAAGAAATGTTATACACCCATAAGTTCGGAAATAAATAGTTCAGGTCCGTTTAAGGTCCGGAAATGATTAGTTTTTGAGTTTTAAAATTCTTGTAACAAATAATTTTTGTCTCATTTTTCGTTTTAGGAATCTTCGCTTAA